CATTATAAGCGGATTCTACTGTACGAACTATTCATTCGAAACGGTTATTATGTTTAATTCCATTGTTTAATGGAAGTTTTTTTTCCGTTATCGATAAATAGTCAAAAAGAACTATGAAAACTCGGGCGCATTTAATTTAATAGATAAATAATTGCAACTGCAGCTACAAAATTTTTTTCAATGTTGCTGTAAATTGTTGTCGATTGTTATTTTGTAATTTAGCTTAAAAAGTTTTGATAACTTTCCTGACACGTTTAAGTAAATATTTATTAACAATTTCGTAAAAGCGATGCGTTTGTTCTTGTTTTTTTCTCTTTCTTAATAAAATTATTTTGTTAACAAAATTACATTCGTTGTGGATGATTATTTATTAGGGTTTATTTTGGAAGCCTTAGAACAAAAACATCACTTTTCGTTATTTTTCTTTCCGAGCAATATGCTTGTGCTGTGTAAAAACGTGGCCGTGAAGAGAGAGGCGGGAGGATGAGCGGAGTTCGCCCTCGTTACAATCTGCCACCCCCGCTAAAAATCAATACTGCGGTGTGTGCCACGAGTTCCGGGACAACAAAAGCGCAAATACGTACATAGAATTCCAGTCTGTCTTGCCACATTTTTTATATATTTTAAACTGAAATATAAATTGCCTTTTATATTACCTAAATAATAATAATTAATTACCTAAATTGTAAAAATTAAAAACAAAAAAACTCAAGACGCCGTAAGACAAAAAACTTGTTATGTTAAACTGACCGGTTATTTGCAAGATTTGAACGATTAGAGAAAACAATACTTAACAATTATTTTTGTTAAAGAAATTAATGAGATCGAACAAGTTCTTGATCAATAATTGAACAGACTTGTGAGGCTATTTTGGTCTTATTAGGTCTCAGCCTCACACCATAGACAAACTCGATAAAACTGCAGTCAAATGGGAGGAGTTTTTTAAAAGCAAATTATGGCATTGTACAATTGGTATCTGCTGCCTATGATGTGCTGATGAGATCTAATAAGATCGGTGGTGTAGTTACTATAAGACCAAGTACTTATTATACTGTTATTGGGATTTGGTTTGTTGTATTTATAAAATTATTAGTGCCACACAGGAAATTGTATTTTCATATAAAAGTTATTTTTAGAATGTTTACATATTATTTAACATTAGCTTTCGTTTGCTACTTTTGTTCAGTTATCAAGGGTCTTAAAATTTTTGTACTTTTCGTTGGGTATAATTTCTTAAATAGTTGGAACATGTTAATTTTTCTTTTCATATTTTAAGTTAGGTAACTTACGATAAATAAATACAATATATGTAATAGTACCCATAATAATTTCTTTTTTATTTCTGTGAGAGAATCAAAATTCAGCCTAGGAAGATAATTAGTTAAATCAACCTTTCTTAATTTGTGCTAAAAAGCAGTTTTATCGTAATTAATTTGTAAATTCTCTACATAAATAAAAACTAATTTAGATAAAAACATTAACAAATTCATTATTTATTTCCGCATATAATACATGGTTGGAATTGTGGATAATATGTATTTTAATTAAATTATGATTATATATTTACATGTAAACTCATTATGTCAAATTTTAATCAAGAATGCAATTAATATTGAGAAGAAACACCATTTTTCAATGGTTGCGAATGAAAAGAAGAATCGTTGATTCATATAAATTCATTTTGAGGCTTTTATTAAGTTTCAAAGAGAATAAATAAAGTTTTATGTATGCACATATATGTGTAAAGAAGTAGAATAAAAAGGGTTGGTTGGTTGGTTGGTTGGTTGGTTCTCCACCTAAAGTTGACGGCGTCGATCGACGTCGCTCCCATTAAATTAAACGAGCCGTGAGCCGGTGCGGTGAGAACGTGGCAGCGATAGCGGTAGCGTCGCGACGCTACGCTAAAACCGGGACTTCATCGCGGCTTATAAACTGGCAGAACAGAGAGCCGATATAAGCGTCAGAGGCGCCGTTTGCGTACAAACCCTCTCGCTGCTTCCGAAATGAGACGAATAATTTCGTTTAATGTATACCAATAACGAAAATATTTTCTCGAAGAGCAGAGGGTGAACATTTAACCCAAATAATACTATAATAGCACTGTATGGGGGTCGTGGAACACCGGGTACGAACAAAAACTGAAAAAAAATAGATTTTGATTTACTTAACACTAAAACTATTTGAGAAATAACCCATAAGGAAAAGTCTTAGCAATCTGTTACTTTTCATATATATGTAAATTGTTAAAAAAATTTCCATGTAGGTACTTGCTGTATACTGTCACCAGATTCGTCGATATTTGATTCGTTATCATCATCATAAGGTCGTCAATCCTAAAACTGTAAGACTTGTAAGGCTATTTTGGTCTTATTAGGTCTTAGCCTCACACCATAGACAAACTCGATAAAACTGCAGCCAAATGGGAGGTGTTTTTTAAAAGCAAGTTATGGCATTGTACAATTAGTATCTGCTGCCTATGATGTGCTGATGAGATCTAATAAGATTGAAATCGATAAATTGCTACATACTGTCGCCAGATTTGTCGAAATTTGATTCGTTATCATCATCGTAAGGTCGTCAATCCTTAAACTGATTGGACACGCACCTTCACTCTCTCCTATCCTGAGCTAATCTTCGCATTTCCCTAAAACTAGAACAACCCACATCCATAATTATTTGCGAACAGTGATCTAATCTAGGTCTACCTCTGCTCCTTTTAAATCCCGTTTCTGTCTCTTACATGTCTCTGAATGTCCTTCCAACCTATCCCGCCTATTTTTTATTGACTTCCATAGAGTCCTCTGTTCTCCTATTCTTTCTAACAACTCTTCATTTCTAACCTTCTCTATCCGAGGTATCCTCATCACTCGCCTGTAACGCCACATTTCGAACGCTTCTAACCTTTTCTTTTCCGCAGCACCCAGCGTCTATGTTTCGCACCCGTACAGCGCCGCGCTCTAAACTTACACCTTTAACAATCTTTTTAGAATTTCTAAATTAACTGTTCGCGAGCATAAAAATGACTTCTTTTTATTGAAGGCGACTAGACCCTACGCTATTCTGTGCTATATATCCCTACTACTCTTTCCGCCCTGACTTTTCTGATTTCCTAGATACCTTAAATCAACCACTTATTCTAATTTTTCGTCTCCTATTTTTCTATTCGCTCTTTCCGTTTTTTTTTTCTCTAGCATACCATCATTTTTATTTTACTTTTATTTATTTTCATACAGTTTTGTCAATACCGCTTCCATTTTATTTAAAGCTATCTCTAACTCCTCCTTGCTAGATGCTAATATCGCTATATCATCTGCAAATCTAGGCATACTAATCTTTTGTCCTTGTATATCTATCCCTACAGTTATACTGTCTTTAATGATGTTGATCGCGTCTTCGATGTATAGATTACATATTACATAATAGTGAAGCAGTTTCAGAACAATTTCACCATAAGATACTGTGTAGTTTCATCATCATTGACCTACCCTTTGCTCCACACCTTTTAGAAGGGTGCAATCTTAGGTATTCTCCTTTTGTTAATATTATATGTATATCTCGCGTAGGCGAAGGGTAAACGAAGTAATTAACTGAGAAGCAACTAATTAATATGAACGTTCGGTGGCAAATTAGAGAAGGTGGTGCATCGAAACTTTCGCAGTGTAGACGTAGCTATTAAACCTCTTAGCTGGTGTTCAGTTATTCAGGGCTTATTAAATTAAGGCCTCTCGTCATCTGCGCCTTCAGGAAGAGCGGCATCGTCCTTTCCTCGCCTTTTAAACTCTCGTTATTAAAGAAAGTTCCGTCGATCTCGCATCCCCTCTCGGCAGATGGGGGATGATGGAAGGACCGAAGGGATTTATTTAAAATTGCCTCGTTCGAGCGGAATGCCGTTGCAAGATTACGCTTAAAAGGCGAAGTAAAAGGGAGAGAATTTTAAAGCCTGTACACTAGAAATGAGTTGCGATATTGTTAAATATAATTAACATCGGCCACGTCTATAATCTTACGTCACTACGAAAATCGAAAATATACGTAGCATCAGCTATTAAAGCTGCTAAATATATGTATATTAGCTACTAAATAGGCCAGCACCACCTTTATGTACAGCGTCATTCACAACAAATGTGAATGGATCAGTGGTAGGTATGTTTGGCTGCTGTGCAAACGGTCCCGGTCTCCGCTCCCGGCCTATGCAAAACATTTTTTTTTTCGTCTTATGTAAATAATCAATTAAGTATACACGTTATTAATTTATATCACCAAAGTTTTACCCTGTTTATTTAGCAAATATTTAAGGAACATCGTTAATTTTAACGTTTGTTTTTATTGTAAATTAACGCCTGAATATAACACATTGTATGCGCTAACGTTTTACTAAGAAAAGTACATTTACTTAAATAAGTAAACATTCGTGACTCTTGACTATTATTTCAAAAGAGAAAGAGCATTGTAATAATAAGGATTATGGATATTCCTTTGAAGAAAGCGCTAATTGGTTTTATCAACTAATTTTCACTACAACAGGTTAAATATCTTTTTTGTTGTACGTAGGATGTCTTATTTTTACGTAGGTGCTCATTAGAAGAATCTACATGCTAAGAAAAATCTTAAAAATTGTTTACGTTAGACATTTAATACAATTCTAATATTTATTTAACTAATATTCGGAAATTATTCAGTTAATTGCGTTTGTAAACTTAACCATCCAAGTCGACTGTAGAAAGTTGTAATTTAATACTTAGATTCAGATTAACATGTACGAATTACGTCAAAATTACGCCTTCCTTGGAAGATTAAAATGTTTAATGGAAATACCTACGTAATATTTCGAAATTTTATATCGCTTAAAACAATAATCGTAGTCAAATTTATTACAAAACCAATTGCAACCCTTAAACTGTGGTAGATCAAATTTTATGCTTTACATGTATAAAAACATTATAATGGTTTTCTATGTCAGTATTTATCGAGTTATAAATTTTTTGTTTTCTTTTTTTCAGGAGGTAACAGATGTGTGTATAGGAACCAGTGTGGGTACTATTACTGAACCCGATTGTTTGGGACCCTGTGAGCCTGGCACCAGTGTTACTTTAGAGGGTATTGTGTGGCATGAGACTGAAGGGGGTGAGTTTATAAATAATTGTTTTTAATCTGTACTTAATATATATCGATCAGAAAGCAGTTCACTATAAGCAAAATTATATTTTCCTAAAATTAAATAATATGTGATAATCAATATGGGCGGTTTTTTATTTAGATCTATCATCGTTGGTGGTTTTCTGCATTTAATTTGCAAATGTTTGAACGTATTTACGAATTCAAATATAAAGTAAAGCTATTGGTTTTTTTATTAGTACATTGTTTGTCCAATAATTGGTTTCCATTGTTTTTCCTTTTATGTGAAATTATTTAGTTACAACACACGGAAGCAACAAATTCTAAATTGTTACATTTCCTATAAAAGAAGAAAAACAATTAACTTTGCGTAAAAACTTAAAAAAGTTTCGATTTATTTTTAATATAGATAAGTATTTAGTTGTTTATTACGTCCAGGTGTACTGGTTGTGAATGTAACTTGGAGAGGAAAGACTTACGTGGGAACTCTTCTCGATTGTACCCGACATGACTGGGCACCCCCACGGTAAGTTTAGCACCAGATTATTTTCATAAAAATTGAGAGTAGATTTATAAAACAGAAGACAATAAAACAAAAAATTCTACTGTTTCAGTTTCTGTGATTCCCCTACCAGTGATTTGGATGCAAGACTTCCAAAAGGACGAGGTAAAAACAAAAATAATTACTACTTATTGCTAATCTTAATCACACATATTTGCTGAATAAAATAATTCGAAGTGGTCTGTATTCCGTCGAAACTGCCAGACGCGGATCGCGATTTCGATCTTTTTGGATCTCATCAGCACGGCGCAGGCAGCTGACAACCTTTACCTGCTATTTTAACAGCGCGTTTTAGAAAATACCACAAATGGCGTGGTGAACGTTCACCAGGTATGCCAGCAGGTAAAGGTTGGTCTGTGTTCTGTCGGAGCTGTCTGCGACGCGCTGATGAGATCAAAAAAGATCGAAATCGCGATCCGCGTCTGGCAGTTTCGACAGAACACAGACCACTTCGAATTATTTTATTCGATTATGGTAACGTGCCTATCACGTTGAGGTTGGCTACGCCGGGATTCGTTTCAGCAAGTAGATATCCATATTTTTAAATGGACCTTGTTGGAGCATACGTAATCCTAAAATGTAGCATCGTACTACGGATGGCGTTCACCACGCCATTTGTGGTAGTTTCTAACACATATTTGTTGGTTTCAATATTGTTTTTTCATTATATTTGTAGTATAATTTTAATAATAAAAGTGTTGGTTAGTGTGTATCAAAAAATGTTATTACTCGATTTCTCATAGAAACGCGATCGTCTGTGCATAGTAAATTGCGAAACGGCGGGGGTGGCGTAAAGGGTCGCCGGGGTACAACGAACGGCCCGCCGACCGGTCCATCCACTGCCCCCTCGTCACCGACGCCTTTCGTGCCTCCGCGGCCCGAGCCCAACAACAAGCGAAAGAATAAGTCGGGCGAAGACGAAAACAATACTGCCAACACAAACAACGTGGCGAAAAAGTCTCGGGTAGCAGCGCCCCCGTCTGCCCCGAACTCATCGTGCGGCAGTCCGCCCCCGTCACCTGTCCTTCTCGAGTGCCCCGAACCAAACTGTTCGAAAAAATACAAACATATCAACGGACTCAAGTATCACCAGTCGCATGCCCATGGGGGCGGTGGTTCAGCTGACGACGAAGATACCAAAGACGTTACATCGATGAGCGAAAATGACGAATCGAATATCGAAGCTCCGAGTCCTGTTACTCCGGTCAAGTCACCGGAAAAGCCCCAGGATAATCCACTGACGCCTCAGAAGAAGGAAACCGCGGTAGATCAACTTCCGTTAATGTTGCGTAGTGGCAGCGGACTTCTGGAGGTGCACAGCCAACCGGATACTCCTCGAAGTACACCACCGTCACCGGCAACCCCACAAAGTATTCAGGACTTGGGTGTAACGAATGCTGCGTCTCCCACTGTCCCTATTGCTGAGCCAAAAAATGTCGTCAAACCGGGTGTGCTTAGGTATAATTCTCCCGAAGAATTTCCGGTTGGTGTTTTTGCGGGGAACAAGTCCATTTCTACAGGTATTTTATTAACAATTATTGTCTTTGAATCAACAATTGCTTGAACGTTATATTTGTTTTCAGGGTCTCCCATTTCGAATTCTGCCACCATGCCCCTATCTCGATCGATAAACGGTTCCGATTCTTCTAATGATCAAACGTTACCGCCTCCAGAACAGTCTTCTCAACCACAGTCTTTCGCCAGTCAACTTCAGACGCAAATAAACATGACGCAGCAGTCTTTCGATGACTCTCCGTCCCTCTTGATTCCAACACAGAATACCCAAAGTGTTGCTCCTTTACAACCCGCTGAACAACCTTCTTTTGCCCATCAACCTCCCAGTCCGCAGTCTGGTAAACTGACCCAGTTTAAGGTAAAACCCGCTTCGGCTCTCATGCCAGAGGAAAAGAATAAGGATCGGATTAGCAAACCACCAAATTATAAGAAAAAGAGCAGAAAATCACCAGCTGGTAGCCCTCATCCGCCTCAGTCGAACCAGGACCAGCTCATGTTCGGAATCGAGAGTTCAGGTCGTGACGAAGTACAAAGTCCGGCATATTCGGACATTTCGGACGACGGCGCTCCAGTGATAGAGCCCGACGTAACGGATAAGAACAAATCCATCGACAAAAAGACTGAAACAAGTCAAGCAATGCCGCATATGCCTCAGTATGGAATGTATCCGTTCTACGGTCAACCCCAATACATTATGCCTTCAGTTCAGGACCCGAAAGCGAAGGAACCTGAAAAAACCGTAGACAAAGTGCTGGAAAAAGAACCTAAAAAAGACGGCCCTGATTTCCAACAAAAGGTCATCCAACAACACTATTACCCTTCTTACGGTTATGTACCGGGATATTCTTACAATATGGATCCCTCTTCATACGGTTCGGTCTCGATAGTCCCGGATGACAAGAATAAAGAAGAACGCCTTAAAGAGGACGTGAGTCCTGTGGATCACGTACCAAAACAGCCCACTCCCATACACAACCCGATTCAGGTGCCCACTCCAGGAAAAATAAAGACTGACTTATCGCTTAAAGAGAAGCATCAAAACGAAAACCATCAAATTTTGAAGGAAAGCATCGAAATGAAGAGTCAAATGAATCCCTACATGTATCAGAGGCAGCAACAACAGCATCAGCAACAGCAGCAGCAGCAGCAGCAACAACAACAACAACAACAACAACAACAACAACAACAGCAGCAGCAGCAACAACAGCAACATCATGGACAGAGGGAGGAAGACATGCGGCGTTTCTACGTTTATTCTGACCAAAGAAGAAAAGAACAACAGCAACACCAGTCAATCCAAAACGATCATAAGAGTACAATACCAAATAAACCGCTTCCTCAAAGTCCAAGTGTCAAGTCCTCAAAAGAGAAGATGGAAGAAAAGAAGGAGAAGGAAATAAAACAGGAAGGTGTAAAGCCCACGATGGAAACCCAAGGGCCACCACCCCCGCCAACGTCACAATACGCTTATATTCATCCTAGCTATATGCAATCTCCTCATTATGGAGCCTTACCATTTGATCCAAATCATCCCATGTACAGGAGTATTATGGTTCCAGGACCGTATAGCGGCAATCCATACTTACATCCACAAATCCCTAGGTAAGCAACTATAAATTATCCAATCCTTATTTTGTTGTGGATTTATTAAAATTTTTGTAAAGTATTAACGAAAAAATTGTCACATAATTACATATATTTAAAATATTATAATCGTAAACGGAAACAATACTTTTATAAAATTCGATATTAGGCTATTTTTATTTTTAAAATTGATAAATTGCATTGAAACGCGTACGTAATTGTATTTTTACCTTTTTTTTCTAAATTAATGACCAATTGCATTTAAAAAAAATCAAGTACAAAATAACAGTTGCTGAATTGCTAATTGACTTTTCCTATAATGCAAGAAGTAGTATTTGTTTAAACAATTTTGTAGACCTCTTTAATTTATGTTTCCTCCAAATAGTTGACATTTATAAATAACTACTTAAACTGCTTAATTATGAAGTGACTAATTTATTTATCGCTATCGTTGATAACTGAACAGTTCTCAGACAATTTATGATGGTCATAAAATTATTTATTTTAGAGTTTTCAAGCTGTTACTGCATAAAATTTCTATTTATAAATCTGCAGATTGCACTTATGACTAAAAATGTCTGATATTTGAATTTTATTATCTATAAACTTATTTATTACATGACACATTTCAAAATATAGAGGAGCAAATTACGCATTAGGTAATTAAAAATTGTATTTTAATGATCTTGTAAATAATTTTATTTTCAGGTATCACGCGCCTGAAGACTTGTCTAGGGCCCCTCCTCCTACAAAAGCCTTAGATATGCTGCAACATCACGCGCAATATTATTCATCTCATAAAATACACGAACTGCAGGAGAGGGCGATAAAATCACCGAATCCAAAGACGTCGATTGCTAGTTCGAGTCCTTCGAACGCAAACGGTCCCCCTGGAAGTGGACAGCCGCAGACGCAAGTGAGCGGGCCTACCACCTCCCAACCGAGCAATACGACGCCTCAAGGCGGCAAACAGACTCCAGGCGATAACAATAAAGACAGTAGGTCGCCCCCGCCACAAAGACATGTACATACACACCACCACACGCACGTTGGACTCGGCTATCCCATGTATCCTGCCCCCTACGGAGGTAAGTCTCTTATATGCTTATTTTTTTTGTAATTGGCTTCTGAATCGGAAATAACATACCTATACAATTTGAATTTGTAGGATACAGTAGTAATAATATAAGAAACGAGGCAGGGGTCATGTTGATAGAAAATGAGGAAAAGGCAGATAGGTGGAAAGAATATTTAGAGAACCTTTACGCAGGCCCTGAGTTAGGAGATATATTAGAGAAGGAAGATAGTNTACAGAGTATATTACAAGGTGTACTAACAAATTCCGCCACAAATTATATTTTAAACAATATTTTACATTAATTGTAGGTCTTAAACATATTTGCTAATTTATTGGTCATAGAAGATTATTATTCGTTATTTCTATCAAGTTTCTAAAATACTTTTTATTTAAACTTACGTAATTGAAATATCACATGTTATTCAGCATATTCCTGGGTTTATTGGAGCTGCTTGGTAGTTAACACTGGCGCAGAATTTGTCTTATTCCCTATAAAAAGAAGAATAAATAAACTTATTCTGTTAAATTTCATTAGAAATTTCAATACATTGAATTGTAATATTATAAGATGGATTCTCAATTTAAATAATAGTGCTACTCTACATTTCCTCCACTCAACAATAAAAAGCCTTTACACTTTTATTTATTAAAATTTTTTTTGTGACAAAAAATGAATAAAAGTGTGAAGTAATCAATCAGTAAGCGCGACATTTATTTAATGTATTTCCATTTGAATATGATGTATATACGTTTGATGTGAGAAGATTAATTAGCGCCCCTTTGATTTATTGCATGTGTACACACAGTACAAATCGAATACTCTTCATCATATCAAGTGGAATTTTATATTATGCATATTTTTGGTAATAACGACGTATTTTATCAGACTTAGTACATATGCTATCATATGATTGTATGTACGTACACGTATATATGTGTGTATGTAGCAGAAATATGCACCAAGTACAAATATGACTCATGAAAATTCCCACAGAAGGGAATTACGCACATGAAAATAATGATGATAAGTAATAATACGTAGTTTCTAACTATGTATATCAAACTTCTACTTACTCTCCTTTTCATAACGCCTGCAAGCTTCTTCCCTCTCTATTGCGTCAAGGTACCATAACGTGATAGCGTAACGGGTAGCATACGCTGGTTGAACTTCGTGGGGGTTACGCCTATCTGACCAGAAAAATAACAATCTATCGAATAATGGTTCAATATCTGCTACCTAAAAACAAGAAAAAAATCGTAAATATTATAAACTAATCGGCTATTTATTTTTTTAACTTTTATTAGTTACATCCTTTATCCTTTTAAAAAATCACCACACACATTTAAAGTTGTGTTGACGTCAATAGAAAATATTATTTTCCTTTTTTTTTTTTGGTTAAACAAAAAAAATAAATAGAAGGTGCTTTTTGATTCTCCTCAATTTTTCAATATAACCCATGAATATGCTGTAAACACTGCTATTTTCGAAAACTAAATGAAATTCAATTAAAACAAAAATATTTTTACATTATTTCAATTTTAATCGCGTCAATAATAGTTTAATCAATTACAATGCTAAAGGTTATCATA